GAAAATGGATGGATGGATTATTTCAGCCTGGACTGAAAAAACAGACAGTTAACCGTTAATCAGTGAACAGCCAAGAATATTTTGACCAGTTACACATGTCGGCCCAGAGGTTACTTTTGCTCCTGTTTTGTTTCAACTAATGTTAGTTAGCAGCACCACTCATTTAATGATTGCCACTTGTAATGCTGTCTCGACGCAATAGCGTTGCTTTGAAAACACTGTGCCCACCCTCTGGTCTCCCCCAGGCTGCCTTGGTGTGTAAGCATCTCAATCATAGACTGTATATAACGATGGATGACGCGTCTCCACTCACCTCCACTGTACAATAATGAAGCCAGAATATTAAGGATACAGCTGCCTTCATCTTGGTGATGTTATCTGGCCTGTGTGTGAAGTTAAACATGAAACAGAGAGGCATGCTTGTCCCAAAGCTGTGTACATGGCTGTTGTCTACTTAAAAAAACCTGTGTGCACATGCTAATTCTGGTGGAAAAGGGGAAGGGCCTGTATGTTTCAGCATCTATCCTGTTAATGCAGTCAGCTGACTGTCTATGTGCAAAGCCAACAGAAAACCAAGTATAAGGCATTTACATCACAAAACAGAAAGGCCTCCTGTATTTTACATCATTGTACTTTTTTCTTACTAATTTACAGTTTAGTTAATGTTAATGGGTTTCGGGCTGTTGAAAGCAAAATTGGTGGGCCTTTCCACAGAGGGCTGTAGTTTCCTGGCGCGGTGCAGGGTGGCGAACCCCATGCAGAGCTAGTTTCGAGCAGCGCAACCCGAGGCGCGCTCAGTTTGGTAGTTTGGCAGACTGAGGTGCGCTGAGATGGGTGTGGCGGCGCAGCAGGGGGAGGTGTCGACAGATCCAGCTTGGCGCAGTGACAGTTTCGTGCTAAAAGGCTTCGCCGAAGGTGCGCTAAAAGCTCGCCAGCTGAAACCAGGTCTACTGTCAGCACAGGCGGAGCGCAGCCGGTGTAAGCCGAAGTTTGGCTGACCGGCGGACAGTGCGCACACGTCACCAAAACCTCACAGGCAGGTTTCCAGAATATCAGGCACATTAACGATGCAATAAATACCCAAAAAACCACTATTCAATGCAACTATCTGCAATCAGCACATAAATGTATCTCTATATCGACTGTCCCGTCACATCTGATGTCAGATCAAAGGGGATTGGCACCGTTTGGCACGTTTGGCACGCGTAATGGAAACCCAACCTGATTTGATTAACACAGCTGCAAACTAATGAGTTCACATCCCTCTCAGCCAACCACAAACAGCCACAGCATCAGATAGGGAGTATATATTCAGCATCTGTCATCTTAGAAAAGTCAAAAGAAAAGAAACAGAGTGAGACTGCGAGAGAGAAAGAGAGAGCGCGCGCACGAGAGAAACGCAACATTGATTTACAATTGTGGTGACCTCCTCCCAGGCTACCTTTGCATCATCAGCCCGTGGAGGTCTGCTCGCAGTTCTGTATATTCGGACACTGCGAGCTTGGACCTCCCGGACCAAAACATCAGTTTCCTCCTGGGAGAAGTTTGGCCGTCTGACGCTGCTGCTCTCTTCTGCCATGGCGAATTGAGTAAACTCTCATTATGCCTCTGGCGGCGCATTTAAGGGCGAGGAGAGGGGCTCATTTGATTGGTGTGATGTGAATGGGATGTGTAAAACCCACTCCACGCCTTCTCTCCTCCCTCTTTCCGACTTGTGCAGGTAGGAGGGACGGAGGTGGGAAAGAGGAGTAGCTGCGCCAGGCGCACGGTGTGCCAAACTTGCAAAATCCACCTGGCGCCCCCGCCTCGCCTGGTCTGGAAACTAGAGCCCAGAATGACATTGCTACACACACCCACATTTTGCCTTCATTAGTCACACAGAAGACATCTTTAGAATTTAAAGCCTTCAAACATTTTTACAACAGAAAAAGCTGTGCATGTGCATGAATGTAAATATTCAGTATGTGTAGGTTTGGGTGTCAAACTACATTTCTATGTCAGTGTTTGGGGAGCAATGTATTATCTTCTCAAATCTTTCATGCAGAAATACATTACATACTGTGACTGTCTGGGGGCTTTAGCAGGAAGCAGCTGAATAGCTGGATGGCTTTGAACAATCTGTGGAGGCAGCCATGCATGGCCCTGCTTACTCTGTGGCCCTGGAGCCGCTGCAGAACTGGCTGAGCCTTTGTGAGGTTAATATTCAGGATGACTGTTCATTTGACAGAGAAGAGAAGAGAAGAGTTTTACAATTAAAAATGAGACAACATCAACATCATGTTAAAGGACTCATTTTGCAGAGACGTGTGCATACGTCCTTTACGTCCTATACGGCCTTTGAACCCTTTATGTCACTATTTTGATGTAATGGCCCGAACATTTACTGTGTAGCTGAGCCACATCTCAGCTGTTTTGGTTGTCTAATAAACCCAAAGTATATGTCCAGCACCAAATGACAGACAGAAAATGTTAATGATCAAGAAAGTCGAGTGTTCACTGTCGCAGGTAAAGACGTTTTGGAGTTGGTGGAAAATATTGGATTCCATTCATCAGACGGACACGAACGTGACTCCACATGTTGCTCTATTTAGGCAATTGTTTGCTAACCTGTTATTTAAAGCAACTTTACCGAGTTTTGTGGTGATGGATGTGTATTGTATGGTGTCATTTTCCGATGCAGTATTTTCACTGGTTTATGTTTTATGTTTTGATATGGTTGGGCAACGATAAATTGATACAACATGGCATTGCGATATTTTTGTGTGGCAAAATTGCATCATCACACAGTGCCAGGTATTGTTGTCTAATGTACCAATTATTAATATTACAAATACAAATTCAACTTTAGGTAGTTTACTGGAATAGTACGATCAATTGCTTTTTTAGCTCACTGGACATATTTAATTGCTGCAAAAAAATGGATGAGGTGAGATGAACAAACTGAAAACTTCTTACCTTATTTGATAAAACTGATGTCCACAAACCTATACATACTGTATGGGACCTACATATACATTAAATGTAAGGATGTCAAAGCGAGGGGGGCTGCCCTTGGATAGCTACCTGTGTGCAACACTGTAAGTCCCTACAGGAAACAGAGACACTGTGCTGATTATTTAAAACAAAGAGCCACTATGGTGACATGTACTTGGTTTTAAATACTTTGCACTTCTTGGTAAAATACGTTGGGTCTAACATACTACATAACAGGGGTGTGGACTTGAGTCACATGACTTGGACTCAAGTCAGACTCGAGTCACAAATTCAGTGACTTTAAGCGGCGATCATAAGGTCGGAGGTTCCGAGGTCCCGACCATTAACTCGGGGGAAAAGTGCTTTTAACACGTGGTCGGAGTGGAATTTATCGTTCTGTACATCATGTGGAAGTGTAGCAACCCGAGGACCCCAAGTTGACACGCCATGACGTTACAGCAATGATGGCCCCCTTCGTGAGTCAAATAATTTTTCTTAGGTAAAATAATGCATCTCAAAGACATCTTCAAGCAAATTTGAACATTATGTGTGTAATTATACGTAGAATTAGTAACATTGCCAACACCATACATTAGCAAAACATTTCTGACCTCTTCATTTAGCTAAAAAGGCTAACAACATCAGCCCAGCTCCACTGGGCTACAGATTTATGCCTTCTCATTGAACACAACACAGGAGAGCGAAAATCTTCTTGCGGGCATGCATGTTTATGTCCAAGGTCCGATGTGAGGCGATGAACGCACTTTTTCCAGAAGTAGGGGCTTTTCCGGGCTTTTCACGTCAGGTCCTTGGAAACCTCCGAGCCCTCTGAACGCAGCTTTAGACTCGACTTAACAAAATAAAAGAACACTTGCACCTCAACTTGGACTTGAACACGAACGCTGGTGACTTCACTTGAACCTGAGCCTTTTGATCTGAAAATACTTGACACCATCCTCCAAGCTCAGAGACTAAGAAGTATGTTATTTCAAAAGTGTGCTACAAAGTTATTAATTTTTAAGAATCAAGTGACATTAACGCTGTTCATTTCTAGCATGTCGACACTTAATGCAAGCTGCAGGGGAGAACCAGTAAGAACTAATGAGATGTTACTGGCTGCCAGTTTGGAAAAAACTATGGGTGGTCATCAGTTTCAGTTTAGTTAATGTAAGAAGGTACTGTGCATATTAGTAAATACGCATGGTATAAAAATGCCAGAATTAGCCAAGAGGCTATTTTTCATCTGTGGCTTCTTGGCCACGGTGTTACACAAGGCCTCAAATGATGATACAGTTAAACATAAAAAAACTAAATGCATGCAGGTTGAAAACTGCAGATAGAAACACAACTTCCTACAAACTTCTTTTAACAAATAAATACACATTTTCAAATAATGACTGATATTTTAAAATGTTAAAATGGCTTTACATTTAATGAAGAGTGCATTTTAACTACAGTAGCAGCGATATGATATACTGTCATATAAAAAGTCGACGGTTGTCATACCATGTACATTTGCTTATCTACAATAATGAAAAAACACAGCTGGCTGTTGAATCTCCTCTTTATTTTAGTTATTTACTATGGGGAGATTTTTACACAAGCTTACATTAACAACCTGGGTTCAAATTTTAAGTATAGTGATAAAACACTTGTTCAAACAAAAACAACCTTTCTGTTTTCGTTCCTTTAAGGGTCATTTTGGCTGATATTAATATAACTTCTGTAATACCGTGAAACCGCGGTATTTTCTGTGACAGGTATCGTACTGTGAAAATTTCATACCATTGCAACAATAATTTATGACATGTTTGGGACTTGGAATTCAACGTTTAAGACTTTGGGCTAGACTTGAGACTTGCATGTCTTGACTTGGGACTTGAGACGTTCTTGTGACTTGCAGAAGACATTGACTTGGTCCCATGTCTGCTAAATAAAAACAAAAGAAAATCCCCTCTAACCGCTCAGGGTGGAAGCGGACCTTTTCTTCGCTGCCTCTGTTTCTGACCGGACACAATTGGCTGCCGGACAGATTCCGTTGACATTGCTGAGGAGGAGGAGGCTGGGACAGATTGGTGTTACCAAACGTGAAGGATTCACTGAGGGGAGCCGCAGTTCAGTGGCAGCCCGCTTCTTGGCCGTGATATCGGGACACGGTTAGAGTCATGTATCGGCGGCCGCTGCAGTCCGCCGTCAGAAACGTTATTAACGTGACAGCGTCCAGAGCCGCCACCGGAAAGGTAACACCGTTACAGCTAACGTTAGCTTAGCTGGCTAATAGGATTTAAGCAAAGTTAGTTCACCAACACGACACATAACATTGTGTACCGTCAGCAAGAGGTGACGGTGAGTTGTGTTAAACACTCAGAGAGAGGAGATGAAGACATGAGAGAAAGTGTGTGTGTGTGTGTGTGTGTGTGTGTGTGTGTGTGTGTGTGTGTGTTATCATCGACCCACAGAGGTATTAACGTCAGGTTAAACAGATTAACTAGTCCCCTGTGAGAGCTGCCAGCTGGTTTGTGTAGGTGAACTTCACCGTCAGGTTAACCGTTATCTAACGTTACTGCCGGTTAAAGTTAACGGCCACAGAGAGTCACCAGGCTGTGATGGAAACATCAAGTCCACTGACCTACTTTTAACCAGACCCCGCGGGCAAGTTAATCTAATCAAGGTTTTTATTATGTTTAACAAAACTTACAATGAAGCGTAAAAACCTGCTTTATTTGGGCCTTTACTTCTCTTATTTTAGAGGATAAAACAATAAATTCCAATAATTTAAAACATTTTAAACTTAAGATGTTCAACAAAGTTGCCCATAATACATTGGGACCTGCTTTATTTGGGCCTTTACTTCTCTTATTTTAGAGGGTTAGACAACAAATTCCAGTCAATTAAACCACTTTAAACATAAAAGTCTGACAGTGTTGATCGTGATGCATATAAACCTGCTTTATTTGGGCCTTTATTTCTCTTATTTTAGAGGATAAAACAATAAATTCCAATAATTTAAAACATTTTAAACTTAAGATGTTTAACAAAGCTGGCCATGGAGCATAAAAACCTTCTATATTTGGGCCTTTACTTCTCATATTTTAGAGGATAACACAACAAATTCCAGTCATTTAAACCACTTTAAACGTAAGAGTCTCACAACGTTGATCCTGATGCATATAAACCTGCAATATTTGGGCCTCTCTCTATTTTTTTAGAGGATAAGACAACATTTTACAGCAATATAAAACATTTTAAAACTTACGATATATAACAAAGTAGACCATGATACATAGAAATCTGCTATGTTTGGGCTTCTCACTCTCTTTTTACAGGATGAAACAAGAAATTCCAGTAATTAAACCATTTTAAACCTATAATGTTTAGCAAAACTGACCAAGAGACACAGAAACCAGCTAAATTTGGGCCCTTTTTCTCTCTTGCTTAGAGGGTGAAACAAGAAATTCCAGTTTAGAAATCTACTATATTTGGGTCTTCCCTTTTTACAGGATAAAACAACAAACTCGGCGGCACGGTGGTGTGGTGGTTATCACTGTCGCCTCACAGCAAGAGGGTTGCCGGTTCGATCCCGGGCGTGGGAGCCCTTCTGTGCGGAGTTTGCATGTTCTCCCTGTGTCAGCGTGGGTTCTCTCCGGGCACTCCGGCTTCTTCCCACAGTCCAAAGACATGCAGACTGGGGACTAGGTTAATTGATAACTCTAAATTGTCCGTAGGTGTGAATGTGAGTGTGAATGGTTGTCTGCCCTGCAATAGCCTGGCGACCTGTCCAGGGTGTACCCTGCCTCTCGCCCGATGTCAGCTGGGATAGGCTCCAGCCCCCCGCAACCCTCAAGAGGATGAAGCAGTTAGAAGATGAATGAATGAATGAAAACAACAAACTCCAGTTATTTTAAACATTTTAAATTTCCAGTTTTTAACAAAATTTACCATACTTCATTGGGACCTGCTATATTTGGGCCTTCCCTCTTTGTGTTTTTTAGAGGATAAAACCACAAATTCCAGTAATTTAAAACATTTTAAACTCAACATGTTGAACAAAGTTGAACACAGTACACAGGCACCTTGTATATTTGGGCCTTTACCTCTCTTGCTCAAGAGGATGAAACAATTTGTTCTACTAATTTAAAACATTTTAAGCTTACAAAGTTTTGCAAAGTCGACCATAATATGAACCTGCTATATTTGGGCCTTTACTTGTCTTTCTTAAGCCTAGTTCACATTACACGATTTTCACCCTGATTTTGCATCGTGGAGACTATCGTAATCTTTTGAGTGTTCATACCTGGCGACGTGTGTTTCTGTCAGCGGGAGTCTCGCCAACTGCGTTACGACCTGTGTGTGCACACCACAAGACTTCTCCACCGAGCCCTCGCTGACAGAGCCCCAGATAACGTGGTGACGTCACCAAACTTGGAGACGACACATGGTAAAGGCATGGATATTCTTCCCAGTGTTGAATCAGATCTGCCTCCAGGGCCTGGGTCCAAACACAACACGCTCCCCGTGATCCTGTGGACGCCGCCATTTTTGTTGTTGCTTGCCGACTTGTCAGTGTTGACAGATCTTGGGAGAGAAACAAGCAACCAGGGCTATGGAAACAAGCCCAAAAGAAGCGACTATCATGCATTTAAATAACTTATTAGACGGATATATATAGAGGAAGGTGACGTTTAGAGAGCAAGCCCAAATAAGCAACTCCACTTTAGAAATAAGCTCAAAGTCGCGGCTAATAAGCGGACCTGGCAAGTGGCAACCCTGCGGCTTGTCCTCCTCACATTTCATACGTCCTCCTGTGTGCTGACGTGGGACGTATCCCGCCTCTCATTGGCTGATGCTCTTTGTCAGTCGTGTCATACTTCTCCAGTTTTCTAGCATGCCAGATATCCAGTCCCAGTCACAGACGAGGGGGTGACTTGCTCGTAGGCTTGTTCACACATGAGGACTCGTCGTGGCAGACTATCTGCCGACTCACCTCCGACCCAAGGTGGCTCTCAAGATCCTCTGCGACGTCCAAATCGCGGTGAACATCGTGTAATGTGAACTAGGCTTTAAAGGACAAAAGAACAAATTCCAGTAATCAAACTAGCTACACCTTGGAGTAGCAAACTTTTGAGGAACGCACATGTTTTTGGACTTCTCTCTCTGTACATTGCATATTCTTTTTATTCTTGATACTGTGAACCTGTGCCCATCCCAGGGCTCGACAGTGCGAGCGTTTCACTCGCATTTGCGACTAAAAATAGGTGTGTGCGAACTGTAAAAAATATTTAGGGGCACATGTGTGCATAAAAAATCAGCCAAAGCAGCCTATATTTTTGTCAGTAAAAAAATATGATAATCTAACCGCAAATATTGGAGGAACTCCAGCTGCCTTCCCTCTTCCCTCTTCCCTCTTCCCTCTTCCCCGTGTGACACGGTTATGGGCGGTTTTCCAAGCCACTGTCGGCACAATGAATATAACAGCCGGGGTCCACCGGGCACGTCAGCGGTGCGACACCTCTGCAGCGCGAGCCCCGTAGCTGCTTGCCCCCGTTAATCAATTACAGCGGCTCCACCGGCAACGGGAGCGGTGCGACAACCCCCGTCTGTCGCACGACAACTCTCTATTTTACCTTCTATTTTTGTCGTGCTACGCTCCCCTACGCGACCCTCCAGCAGATTAAAAACTACATGAAATAGTGTGCTAAACGAGCACAGTGTGTTTTTAAATGAATAAACCATTATCAGAGGTGATATGTGATGATTTTTTTTCATGCATTTACCCATGTTTATCCGTGACATTGTGTAAATGTCCGTAGTGGACATTTGAAAGCGAGTAGATGACAAACAGTACAGTAAACTTGTAGATAACTCAAATACATGTAATAACAGGTGGAAAATGCTTTAACATTTCATGCAGCCTACACGCAGTCTCTCGGCTTGGCAAACGGTAAACAACCCCGCTGGCTTCTCTACGTGTCGCTTCCGTACGCAGTCAGTGGAGCCCAAATGAATAGCCTACGCCGCGACGCTACGCTGACATGACGCTTAAGTTTGCAGCCGGTGGAGCCCGGCCGTAATAAGTCCCACTGTCGGCAGGGTGGAAATAAGTGTGGCAGAGGCAGGGACGGTTTTTGCTATGGGCAGGGCGCAATCTATGTGTGGGCGCACGAGCGCCCTCCAAAAAAAATAAAAAAAAAAAACTCGCCAGTTTTCTAGACTACCGCTCATTTCCACGTCAAGTTAGTGGAGTGGGTGCTGGGGCGCCCCTATTATCACAGCGGTTGTGGGTTGAACGGGGGTCACAGACAGGAATACGGAGGAGGATCATAGTGTGCAAGATAATGGCTTACCGGCGACAGAGAATCCGACTCCAGGTCCAGTAATTTCCTCTTTCGTTGGCGTCATGACTGCCCAGTAGTACCTGGACAACCGAGCCGTGGCGGCACACAGGTATGTGGCGTGTCAGAGGAGAAACGAGTCGTTCACATTTCTCTCTTGTGGCAGGTAACGGTCCACAAACCTCACCGCACTTTAGGGACTGCTCTTTACTTATGAAGGGACTGTCAGGGGAGGAGGGTGGCTGGTTGATTTTTTATCTTATTTATTTATTTTATTTTGGCTGGGTGGGAATAAGTCAAAGTGTGGCGGAGAAGAGGGACCGGGAAAAGCAGCGGACCTCTGGGGAAGCCTGCTCTGTTCTCCCCGCAGTTAGGGACGGTTCGCCACGGCCAGGCTGTCGGCTGGGTGGGAATAAGTCAGTGTGGCGGAGAAGAGGGACCGGGAAAAGAGGCTGACCTCCTGGTAAGCCTGCTTCTTTCTCCCCGCAGTTAGGGACCGTTCACCACGGTACCACTGCTGGGCAGGGTGGAAATAAGTCCTGCAGAGTTTCAGAGGACCTGGAGAATGTTTTAGGTAACGATAATATAACGTTAATAACGTTATATAAGATAATCATATTGCAAAGATAAGACAAAATTGCAAAACTTGATGATTTTACCTTTCTGTACATTTTGTATACAGATTCATTAAATAATTTTGCTTGTAAATGTCTATTTGCATCACGTTTATTACGGAAAACACATTATTTGATCAATTTACATTGTGCCCCGAAAGTTCTTTGTGCGCTCCTTTCTTTTTCAACTTAGGAGCACATGTGCTCCTTGGGAAAAAAGTTAGTGTCAAGCTCTGCATCCTCTAGAATATATTGTTGCACATTCCTGCCGAGTGCTTCTTCTTTTTTTTTTTTTTTTTGATTTATGGAATTATTTTTATTAGATTAGAGACCAACAAAGGAATCCACCAGAGCTGTTGATCATGGACTTGTGGAGCTCTCACGTCGTTTCCCTGAATTTGGCAGTACATCCAAAATTTCTTTTTTAAACATGAGAGCAAATTGGGTCACAGTGTGGTGGTTGTTCAGAATATGTCTGCTCTCATTCATCTTACATAACATACAGCTGGTATTGTAGAATTATATCAGATTGTAGCAACACACAAATGTTTGGATCCCTGATACTCCCCTCTAACATCTCCACTGCTTCTGTTTATTAAACTTCAGAACTCAGTTTGCTTCTGTATGAAACTGATCATTTCTCATTTGTGCCAGTGCATCATCGGGATCTACTAATATATGTTTGATCATTTAGTAAAAAGCTTCCCATGTGATACTCTATATCTCATTGTCTCTCCTGTTTGTTCTGTCTCTGTCTCCGTCCAGGTGTTAGATCAAGAAGCCTGTCTTGCCAGAGCTTTAGTAGCTTGCCAACTGGCCAGAGTCTCCTCTCCCTGTTTAACACCATGTCGGACACTGCACATCACCACACAGGTAACGTGACACACACACACACACACGTACAGAGAAACAGACTATAGATAACACATTTACTTTCTCCACATGTAAACATTCCTCAACAAATATTCAAGTATACATGAAGCCCAAACTGTCTCTGTCAACAACTTACAATGTTTTCAGACTTATTTCTTCAGCCATTAGTCATTTGTTGGCTCCCCTCCCTGTAGATGGGACATGAAATGGAAACTTGAGTGTGACTTTAAAGGGCTGACTTTCAGGTTTAAAGATTTTCACATCCATATTGTGTGAAATAGCAGCTCTTGTCATACATCTCCATTTCCCATAAACATTCAAGCCATCCTGGTGTGGTGCAAACCAGCATGGCAAGGTAAAAAAAATAAGTTGTTTATGCTGACAATAGGCTGCACAAATAATCAAATATTGATCCGATCACACTTTAGGCTTCTCACACTTAAAATGAACATGATCAACAGCGATATGGCTGTTAAAAACATGTGCACCACCTACAGGGAACTCTGCTGCATGTCGAATTAAGCACTCCCTGCCAGCCAGCCTCCATTTTGGCAGAGCTGTGTGCTGTGCATTCACCTTGCTGCAGCCGCTTGTGAAAAACTTCTGAATGTTGCGAATGCAGACAGGCAAACAAAAAATCAGCCGTCATCATCCATCATCATCTGTTGTTTGGAAGTATCTTGGATTTCGGAGAAAACAAATTATACACAAAGTGCATAACACTTGTATCCGCCCAGCAGAGCATCACACACAGTCTGCAGTACGATAAATGCAAGAAGGCAAGAAGAATATTGTTGCTAATGTTACTTCACTGAACCTCCATTCACGTCCAGCGTCAGCTCAGATATCCATAACAGTGATGCTTCATTGCATCATGGTACCATGACTGCTGTTTTAATAAATAAATAAATGAATACAGCAACAAATACGTATCCATATGAGATGCACTGAATTCATACCCTGGAAATCCAGAGTTCTCGCGAGAGCACAATTTGAATTTGCTCAGTGAGTCACTCTGGCAATCAGTAATGATGCTCATTACCTATGCCGTTGGAGCCGAGCTGCACCAATCACATTGGTGTATCTGATATAGGCGGGCAAGAGGCGAGCTAAACAGATGACGACAGCGCTGCGACGACGAAGTCCTGAATCAGTCAGTAAACACTGCAAGATGGCTACGGATGAACACCAGTTGTTTGAAACGGCTTTGGCCGCTACAGTGAACGAGTTAGACTTGGCTTTTTCTCTAAAAGAGGAACAGAAGACGACGCTCGAGTCTTTCCTTTGCAAGGAGGACGTTTTGCTGTTTTGCCGACTGGATACGTCACCCCGTGTATTGTTCTGATTGGTCGTAGTGTTATCCAGTTGCGTGCAGTGATATTTTCAAATGCATGCTTGGTGCCGCCCCTCGAGTTGGGCCATTTTCATTACTCATGGCCAGACCCTAAATCTTTCTAGATTTGGGTCTAGATTTCCAGGCTGCTGAATTCAGATGAAGAAGAACTTTATTTTAATTCTTATTTTGATACAAAGATTTGTACATTAGTAGAAATGTAGCACAACATGGAGGTGAAAGACGTCCTCTGCTTATTTAAATGTGAAAGTGCAGTAAAAATATTTGTCCCTAAAAACAATGAATAATCGTGATAAATAATCATGATCTCAATATGGATCAAAATAATAGCGATTATCATTTTGGCCATAATCGTGCAGCCCTAGGTAATGATAAGTTTGAGATGGTTTGCAGAAGGCACAGGAAGAGCCTGTCATCTGCAGCTCTTCATCTAACGTTGGTTGTCTCTGGTTTAAAGCGGACTCACTGATGAAATAGCCCGTTACATGCTCATACCTTGTTGTGTTGACCATTTTTATTGAAGAATAGCAGGACTAGTTAAGTTCTCCTGACTAAGCGACCTTGCCTTTTCCTGCAGTGGATTCACAATAAAGGCCTCCTGCTGTGTTGCCAATGGAAAACTGTGGGGCTGCACCCTGATAGTTGATGATTAGAACAATCAGTCGGAGACCCCTCAGCTGACTAAGATTCCTCTAAGTCGAGCAGTTGCCGATCAGTTTCTCAGATAATGTTACCTCTGCTTAGAAGTGTTGAATTTACAGCTCACAGCAACTCATTTGATTCAGTCTTTGGCCCCACTGAGTTAAACCACACCGTGGTGATGTGCAATTTCTTTGTCACTTTTAACATGCTGAGCCACACCCAAGATGGACCATCTCCAGAGTAGGGCCAAAAGCAGTTAGCGGTGACGTCCCACCAATCGCAGCCAACCCCTGACGACCTCCAGTCCCCCAAAACAAACGTGTGTTATGAAACTGAACTCACATCGGACCGTGCAGGAGACCAGAGAGAACAACGTTTTTAAAAGTCTGTGTTTTTAGCTCTGTGTCTTTGTAGCTTCTAACTGAATCTCTGTGGTTCGAAGTTTAGTTTCTCTCCTGTGTCTTGTCTGTACTTTAGATATCTGCTTTATTTTACTGTTTCATGTTCTCTATCAGCCGTATGGAGTTGTGTTAAGTCACTGCTGATGAAAACCCAACATCTCGTTATGTTGCTGCTTCACAATAAAAGCTTTTATATAACAAAATAACGAGACTTTTATTGTGGAGAATCGATAGGAAATCAAATGTGTTTATCACTAAATTAGCAGAACTTTGTCAGTGGCTTTTCTTCAATAAAAACAAAGTCTATCAGCACTGCAGGGAGGAAGAGTAAAATCAGAAATCAGCCACAGTGAGATGTTGATGAAGAGCTGCAGACAACAGGCTCTTACTGCACCTCTGCAAACAGCTCACCTCCAACAGGTAAACTTCTTTAACCTGCCCTGCTGCATGATGGAAAAACACTCACAGTGGGAACTTTTCCCACTGATTTTAAACGTCATCACTCAATACAAGCCGTCATCAGTTAAAGACACCTTCATGCAGGTGGCCATGTTGTAATGGAGACACAAATCCCTGCAGTGCTGGGCTGATGCTCAGAGTCAAACTTAAGCTGACCCAGCACATGGGTGAGGAAAAGCAGTACTAGTGTTGTTAAAAGATATTGTTGCACATTTCTGATACATCGTTAGCGTAGTTAGCATGCATTAGCTCAGAGTGACTGTCCCGCCAAACCCAGCTCAAACTCTCTAGCTCTGTACTAAAAAGAGGAACAAGTAGTCGCATATTCGTATTTAACAGCCAAACCTGATTCTATTAATATAATTCTGAGTTGTGTTCAGCCCCAGAAATCTGTTCATGTGAAGCAGCAACAGCAGAAAGCTTTGTATTTGCATTAGAGGCCAATAAAATATGTTGATCGTAAAATAATGCTGTTCTCTGGCCACAGAGATTCACTTACAAGTTACAAAAGCACTGTAGTCACGCATACGTCGAGCAGCTCAGCACATGATTTATCAGTTTAGAACAAGACACAGCTTTGGTTTGTCTCAGGTTCGCTCCATTCTGCCCTGCTACCAGACAGGACCACAACAGATTATCTGTTTCTGATATTTATGTTGATGAACTGGGGTCATGGTGGCAGTAATAAAACTGTCAGGGCATGAAGACAACATGCAGCTCAGAATAGGTCAGTATCATAATTTACTCAACAGCTGCACTCACCCAGTAAAGGCCATGTTCCCCAGGTGTGTGTCGTCATACGGCAGGTTGTGTGCTTGCGTGTCAGTGAAGCTGTATGGGCTGTTGATATAATGAGGGTCACACAGTATACACACAGGGAATTTCAAATCTGTTTCAGGAGTAGTTTCTAAGCTGTGTCATCTGTGTCAAGGCTGTTTTCACTCCCTCCTCATCTTTCTTCAACCTTTTCTCATTTTTTTCCCACTCTGCTCCTCAAAACACCTTTATCTCATCCTCCTGTCTTTATCCTTCATCTGTCTTTCCCTCCTTCACTCCTCCTTTCCTCTGTCTTCCTTTCTCTCTTACATCCATTACCTGTTGTTACCTCTAACACTGCTTCTTAACTTCCTGTCAACCCTTTTCTCACCCCATTTCACATCCTCCTCTCACTGCTTTTCCATTTCTGGTCCGTCAGCTCTGCAATGTCAAGCAGACGCCCCAGCACTCAGAGGAAGAAGTCGGGGCATTCACGAAGCTCATTGAGGCCATGGGCTTCACTGGACCTCTGAAATACAACAAATGGGTGAGTAATGGCGGGAGTGGGAAAGAGCGTTCTAATTGAAATTGCATAACAGGTGGGAACATGAGAGTGATGGGTAGATTAAAGACAGCAAGAGAAGAGAGTGTGCTAGGTCCTTGATAAAGTCTAGAAACAAAGGTGGACATCAGGTCAGACAATAGATGTGCTGCTGTACTCACTACAGTGGATGTCTTGGACACTGCAGGTGTGGAAAGTAAAACTGGAGCGTGGGGAGTCACAGCCTTATTTCCACTGCATGATACGACTGGACTTGACTCATGTGGATCTGTTCTTTTAGGGGGTTTTATCAACAAAAATTGTGGATAGGAACTTGTACTTTTTGTGGTACCACCGAGCAGCATCCTCTGGAGCTGAAAAATTAAGCCAAACTGCAGTTCCTCCAATGTCCACTTGAGGCTGGCTCCAAAAGTGAGTCAATCCCTGTAGTTAATATGTTAATATGTCCAACCTTACAGCAGAAATAAACATGTTTACAGCCTGGTATAAAAGCAGTTTTGGTCTCCAGAGCTAATATCAACATTCATGACAACCATACAGGGAGTTATTTTTATATAACTCACCCGTTAACATTTTATTAAGGCTTAAGGTTACACATAATTAAGGGTTGGCCAGTCTGCTGATAGTGTCCTCAGCTTCTCAAGCGCAGTATACTCTTTGTGGTTTTGGGCTGTCCCAGATGGAAGATGACCAGCATGAAAGAAACATGGCAATATTGTTGGTCGTAGCTCTCAAACAGTGGTCCTACATCGCACAGTGAGAGAGGTTCAAAGATGGCCGTTGTCACAGTCTTGTGATCAAACTTAGCCTGGGATGAAATTCTGACAGTGTGAGAAATTACTGTGTGACTGCTGTTACCACCTCCGTCTAACAACCTACCAATAGAAATGCAACATGAAATGACGCACTGGTGCTAAAGCCAAACAAACAGATGGATGGCAGCTCGCCATGGAGGCAAAACACGCTAAAAGAAATGTGTGTGATTCCAGGAGGAAAACCTTGTGGAGTTGTGGCAGCAGAAGCCTTGCCTGTACGATGTGTCCTCCAGCTCTGATAGTGCCCACAAAACCTCAGGTTATTTAATAATGTGAGACTATATGTTGAGCGTCACAGTTGGAGGAGTAATAATGAATGCAGCGTCCTCGCACGCTTACATGCAAAGCGGCTAAACTGGCTGAACCGTGATGATGAAATAGTCTTGCAGATTAGTCAGTGGACTGCACGCAACCATCAGCAACCTGTGCCGACGGCGTCATGGTGCTAAATCCAACTTGTATTGTATTACGCAATATGACAACTACTGCCAGCCAAGAGTCCTGCCCACATTGACGGGGCTATCTGCAGTGGAAAACAAAATACCAAAAAGCACCTTGTACCAAACGTGTGTAGGGTCGAGTCAAGCCGAACCATACAGTGGAAACAAAAGTAATTTAGAAGCTGTTGTATTATAATAATTACTGACAGCCTTTTTATTGATCACCTTAATTTCGATGAGCCGGTAAATCAATGTCAGATTCTTCTCTCTCATCTTCTGTGAGCTTCTCCTATCATCTTGACATTCTAGTCAATTCAGAAAAATCTGAGTACGTTGGTATAGAGGAGCTGGGCAGGGCTGTGAAAAGTTATTTACTGGCAGCTGTCTGCAGATATCAGGCTGAGTCTAGATACAAACAGCAGGAGCAGAGGAGTTAGTGTTTGACTTTACTTCTCTATCTGTGCTCTTACTTATTGAAGCAGTCCACAGCTGTGCAGAATAACATGTATATTATTTAAAATGCTTAACAATGACAGCCTTGCATTTGTAGGATTATCTGCACATCAGCTTTTCAGTGTCACAGCCAGGACCTCAAGCTGTAGTCGCATTTTAAACAGAAGAATCTATTTTATACTTCCATAGCTGTGAATCTAATTCCTTCAGACCACAGTCAGCTCAGAGACTGTTCTGTGCCGAGCGCAGTGAAAAATGTTTAACTACAAAAACAGCTGCACCTTTATCCTTATTTAACCTGTTGGTTGAGTGAAAACATGTCAGCAACACCCTGGAGGAAACATCGAGGTTGGGAGGCATTGATACAAGACGCAGGGGAGGGGCAGATAAAGAGGTTTAACTCTGATGTAATAATCACAGCCTTGTACCTGTCATTTACAGGGAAATAACCCCTGTAATTAGCAGATATGCTAATCAAGTGTTTGCAAATGTACAGAGCACTGCTGCCGCCCAGGTCTGTCTGTGTTTAAAGGACAGTCATATAACTCTAGTGTGTGTGTCAGAAGGACAGAAGAGCTCCGACCTCCCAGCAGAGAGCTTAAATTATGGGCTGTCAGCTGGGAATATTCTTCACAGCATGTGAACACATATGCACAGACTTGAACGCACCCCAGTAACTCTTCACTGCTTTGAAAATATATACAGTCGGGCTGTCACTGTTTCAGAAAGTCAGGTTCAAACGCATTGGATCAACAGATACTCTGCCCCCTGTTGCACTAGTTTACTGTCATTGAACAACTCTCTTTGTATAGAAAGCAAGATAGAAGTGACAGACGTATAAAAAACAATGTGTTTCAGTTTTCAGAGAACACAGTCGATACTTTTCCTGTCCCATCCCACCTAATCCCAGGGCACCTCAAACTGAAATTAGATTAATAAATTCATTAAACAAATAAATACAAATAACAGATATAAAAACTAAGTAATTAACAAAAAGAATAAGAAAGTTTTATTCTTATCTTTCACAGTAAAAGCTTGAGACATACCGGACCACATCTGATCACTTTTTATCAGAGAGAACCTTTTCACATGCTGAGGCTGTGGTGATGAGTCGTTCAATATATTTAAATAATTTTTCCTCAGGTTTTGCTCTGGCCTCTTCTGTGAGTTTGTATTTAATGCAGTACCTTCTCATCACTATGAAATCAGGGTTCCTACGCAAGTATGGAAAGTATGGAAATAAATTTGATCAATTTCCAGGTATTAAAAAGTATGGAAAATGAAAAATAAAGTATGGAAAAATATTTATGTTTCCAGACTATTACCACTGTTCTAAAATACTGTTTTCTAAAATAGAAAATTAGGTATTTCCAGAAATAATTTAATCAATCCGGATCGTGTTTTATGCTGAGACGTTTGCTCTCACACAGTTTGTGTGAGAGCAAACGTCTCAGAAAACTTAATGTCCCTTTTACCTGATTGACAAGTGGTATGTCCAGTCCACTGCCCCATGACCCTCCTCCAGCCCCCCAGGTATCAAGTTTCACTCCAACACTGCAGTGTTGCCAACTTAGCGACTTTGTCGCCATATTTAGCGACTTTTCAGACCCCTCTAGCGACTCTTTTTCAAAAAAGCGACTAGCGACAAATCTAGCGACTTTTTCTGATGTTATTGGAGACTTTTGGAGACTATTGATGTGAAAGCACGCATCGTTCTTATTCTTCTCATTGAGCAGCGGATGCTGCCGTGGGCCCCTTACCCGTCCCAAAGCACTCACAGGCGGCCCAGTCCTCCCTCCCAGCTGCAGTGAGAGCAGGAGATGTTAACCCCTCCACGTCCAGACTGCTAGTGAATCACACACGCGCGGAGCCGCCGCTGGCTGATCCCAACCTGGCGGGATGTAAATGTAAAATTTTCCTTGTCTAATATAAATCACTGAAAGAAGGTTCATTTGTAGTTCTAAACATATTCAGGGTGTTTTTCACTCAGTTTTTGTCTCTCCCACGATGTTATTCCTCTCTCCTACAGCAGCCATTACAATTACATGCATATGGATGATTATGCAAATTAGGCGATGACGTCATTTAGCGACTTTTAGGACAGCCAATAGCTACTTTTCTTACTGAGGAGTTGGCAACAGTGTACTGCACCTTCGACAAGAAGACGAGTTTCATGTGGTTTGCAATGGGTAGATGCAAGTTTTTGGATGGATGGTTTGACAATACTGTATATAAATACTGGTTGGCCAAGGATTCCCAATTCACACACAGAGCTAGATGCAAGCTTTGTGTGAAATCATTTGACATTCCCAACATGGGTGAGCAGGCGATTCTGAGCCTCATGAAAGGAAATAACTGCATTGCCTGCACCCAGAGTCCCAACTTTTTTGCCTCAGCCCAGACCAACGACTCCTTTAAGTGAACACGCCCACACTCTGAATGATGATACACTGATATATTTACTCAGATATCGCATATTCCCTGAAAATAAAACAACGCAGAGAAGTCTGGAAATTAGGGTATGGAAAAGTATGAAAATTTGAAATTCCAAATGTGTAGGAACCCTGAGAAATGTACTGAAATAAATGTAGATGTGACATAAAGGCAAGTCATTATTTGGCCGGTAGAAAAAAATGTTTGGCCAGTGGGATTTTTTTTTTTCATCTGCTGGCCTCCTGGGCCGCTCAAGAACAAAGTAGATTTTGGACATTGCTTATTTACTTGCCTTTTATGGTGATTGTGAGCCGCAGCAGTAGCTTTCAAACACTGTTATTATGGAAGAACATTCACCTTGTGTTGCCTCATTTTTAAACAATTAACCGACTACTGATTGTTAACACATCCAATAACCAAGGAAATTGCTTGAAATGTGCAGGCCCGTTGGCAAGATGGTGATTAAATCATAAAAGTGCTGTTAACATTGTCCTGTTTTTGGTTACATCCGTTGCATCACACCCGTGCAGTGAGTGTGTTTTCCAAGAATGCACACATCAGTAACGCATAAAGATTTACAGCCACGGTAGGGCTGGTTCTGTGGGAGGCTTTGGCCAAAGAGTGAAAGAGGTGGCGTATGTGCAGAGGAATGTGTGTTGTTGTTGTGCCATCTAGCAAAGTGTTGGGCTTCACGCCGGCTTGGCAAGGTTTGGCATGAGCACTTACACACCTCTGATCTCATGTCCTGTTTCTGCTCAGAGGCTTGTGTTGCCTTCTGTATTCTTGTTTTCTTCATACAGTTGTTGTAGTGAAGTGTGTGTTTGTGGCAGCTCACTAACACACCACAGCTATCAGAATTATGGATGTTATCAAAGCCTGGGAAATATCTGTAGAAAATATATACATATGCTGTAGGCTCGGGCGGTATCAATGTATACCAGGGTATTTAAAAATCCAGACGCTGTGATTTTCAATACTGTCAAAAATACAGATGCTCATCTTTCTATTCACTTCATATTGGAGAGGCTGTACTGAGGACTTTTTGTAGACTTGCACTGATTACAATTTTTTGGGGCGGTACCGATTTCCGATTTGTAGTTTTTCGATGGCCAATTCTGATTTCTTTTTTTTTTTTTCTTTTTTTTTTCAAACCACTTTACAGCACACAAGATACTGCAATATTTTCTATCTTTGCTTTATTAGAACATTTTACCCAAGATACAACCAGCTTTTCAATAACCATCTCAAACAAACACAAACAGTGACACAGGTTAAGAAATATTTTCCTTTTTGCTCAAATATAACTTCAGGTACATTATTAAAATTAATAAGTAAAAAAGGCATACATAAATAAAAACATGGATAAATGAAATAATAATTCTTGGTGTGTAGCATTTGTGGGTCATTTCTTGAGTAGACAAAAAAGTAAAAATATCTCCTGTGGAAAATTCACACAGGTCTTCAGGACGCGCCCCGCCAGTAAGCACGCGGACACGCGTATCTTTGGCATGCGGACACACGCCTCGTCAGTTTCAAGCGGCACAGTGCAGCAGTGAGAGCTCTGCAGTTCAGTTTGACACGGACAGTTAACAAGTTAACTCCTTCTCTCTTTTGATGTGTGTGCGTGAATGATTAAGTTGAGAAGCCGCCCATGTTTCACTTCCTCACATCGCCCAAGTCGTGAGTTGCGAGTAGTGCACATCACGCACCTCCAGAGGTCAGTGTGGTGCAACGGGCAAGTGGCGGAGATTAATGCAACAGGACTGACTGTAAAGCAGAGAGACCACAGGGGAAACAGCACATTTTCAAATCTAACTCAGTGAATTATAAGTTTATTTTGACCAAACGAGTTTTAACAATGGACTAACTAACTAAAGTAGGGATGCACAATACTGGATTTTTCTCCTGATATCTGTTATCGTCAAGTCTCTTTTGTAGTGGATTTGACATCATATTATACATGCATACTCTTATCATGACGGCCCACCAGCAGGTGGAGACATAAAATACAATACTTTTCAATGTATGTTATATTCATTCATTATGCAAATTAAGAAAAAGCATGTTGGCCAATTCCGATATTGGCCGATACAGATGATGTGCCAATATTATCATGCAACCCTAAACTAAAGGCAGTTTTGTTGAGTTTTCTTTTGTTTCTTTTTAGTTTGAATTAAGAGTGTTTTACCGTGAGTTCACAAGGCAAAAAGCCCGGTTTAGTTTGGTGAAAGAGAGAAACTTTAATCCAAAAACTGAACGATAGTATTTCTCTGATTAATAAAGAAACTAGAGAAAGATAAAAACAAAATACATCTTTTGACCTTTTGCAAATTTATTATACTGGAAAAGTCAAGAGAGTTTGGGTAATGTAGCAAATTTACCAGTTGCGTGGGGCAGGGTAGCACCGCACCCAAATACTGTCATATACCTTATACCATGATGAAATTCTATGAAGGTATGAAAAACAAGATACCGCCCAAGCCAAATACACAGAATATATCAGATGGTTCAAAAGAAGTCAATAAATGTTTTCCATGTTTTTTCTGTGTAAAGTACTTAGAATCACATGTGAGAGGTGCGATACAAAGCAAGAAAGGAATACCCACAAAATTATAATTTATGTAACAATAACTAACCCTGTGTTATGTTGAATTCATGAAGAAAACTCTTGCCATGCCAAGTCATACCTCCACAGTGAACAAAGAATGCAAAAACAGAAAAGTTTCCATAAATTAAAACCATAGGTGACCACATGTAAAAACAGAAAAACTATATCAAACATCTGTTTACAAACTCTCACATAACTCCAAAACATGCAATTTTGTTAAAACTTGATGTTCTGTCAAGACCTTCCTCTGGTCTTCGTTCACCATGGAGGCATGTGAGAAAGGTTTAAGGTCAACACGAAGTGAGTAATTGATATACAAATGGTCATTTTATGTGTTGAGTATTCCTTTAAGGAAGGAGTTCTTCATTTGAACACTGTTGCATTGAATGACAGTATTTTTAGCTCACTAGTTTCCAGTGACATATGGCAAATGTTGGTGTGGACAGTAACAACACTGTCCTGCAGTATATAAACACAATATCATATCTCTTAAATCTCAAGCAGCTGTTTCAGTAAAGTGAAATATTTTATTGCAGGTATACCTACTGTATATATCCAATCACTTATTAATTGTGGACACCAACATTTCAGTGTAGAAATAATGTGGCTTAAAGCAGCAGTATTCACTGATCAGCCACAGCATTAAAACCACTGACAGGTGAAGTGATTAACATTGATCTTGTTACAATGCAATGTTCTGCTGGGGAACTTGAAGTCCTGCCATTCATGTGGATGCCCCTACCACCATTTCAGACCAAGTACCCCAATCTGATCTAGCATTCATGGGAAGTGGCGGTACCCCGGAGGTACCCTGATCCATGGCAGCGCGTCCTTGGATCAGACTTAGCTCTGACTTGTTAACGTATTGACACAGGACCTCTGGGGTGTCCTGTGGTGTCTGGCACCAGGATGGTGGTGGCAGATCCTTTGAAACCTGTCACTTGTGAGGTGGGGTACTAGCACTCCCTACAGACACACAATAAGAATAAGGTCTTGGGACTTTGTCACATTTCTCGGGTCATTGCGAAGCAGTTTTTGTGGTATGACACGATGCATTGTCCTGCTGGGTGCACCACTGCCATCACGGTCTGTCGTTGCCATGGGGGAGTGTACTTGGTCTGCAACAGTGTTTGGGTGGTTGGAGTGTGTCAAATGGCATCCAGATTCCTGGCTGAACTTCACACTGTAACGAGATGATCAATGCTGCTCTCTTCACCTGTCAGTGGTTTTAATGTTCGGCAGATCAGTGCATCTATTGAATATGTTTATGATGTAACAAATGTTTTCCCCCCTTTGTTGTCTCCACAGAAAATCAAGATTGCTGCCTTGCGCATGTACACATGCTGTGTAGAGAGAATCAATTACGACGAGTTCTTTGACAGTAAGTGTAAGACCTGACAATAACTGACTACTAACGCTGCCTGTATTGAGGCCTGTTTACATATACACCTATAATAATATAATACTGCTCAAACCTTCACACTGTGTATCTGTGATCTCCCTCTCTGTTAGTGTTGAATTGTTTGAGCTTGTCTGGTTCCAAAAGTGGCTCAGATCAGCCCCAAAGGTTTTCATGTTTCCTGATGTTAAAGACTTGAGGGCATCTTTTCCCACACCGCACTTCTCTTCAAGTTTGTAGACATTGAACAGGTCCATAAATTAACCGAGGAAAGCATTTAAAGCAGCCATCTTGAATACTGATTTAAGTTAGGTTGAGCCCCATTCACAAAAGATTTACATCCGGTATGTAACATTTTTGAAGATACGATGAATGTTTGAATCCAAAAGAGAAAATCTTTTTGATAATACTGAATACACATGCTGAGAAAAGGCACACACGCATGCACACACACGCACACACGCAGAGCTAATACTCGTCCTGATCCAAACACAGAACATTGAGGCGTTGTTGGCGTCGCCCCGGTCCAAACGGAGTTGGTTGGAGTTCAGGGACACTGTCACCACCTGCCTGACACATTTATTTGACACTTTGCTGCCTGGCACACACAGACAAACACACACTTGTTCACTAATATTACTCACACACACTTAGAGCCTGCTGCCACATTATCATACTGCATTTTAAACCTGCTGCTATGGCAAAGGCTCGCTGCTATATGTTCAGTATGCACAGTCCCCTGATGGTTCAGAGATGAGGGGCTGGTTTGGTTAAGGAGCCCAACGCTGGTGCCCGGGCTGACAATGAAACACATTATACATGCTCACACCCAGGATATGTTGTATTAGGATTGTTAGAGAGCTGAGAAATTGTAAAGGGGAAAATAATTTAAGTTCAGTTTATAAGTAATGATTATTTTCATTATTGACTGCTCTGTCGATAAGTCATTTTGTCCATTTAAAAAAAACAAAAAAAAAATAAAACATCTATTCAAACTTCCCAGAGCCCAGGGTGACTCTCAGATGTCTTCTTTTGTCCAGCCAACAGATTTACAAAGGGAGCAGGTCCCCATCTACTAGGGTTGGGTACCGAAACTCTGTACTTTTTGTACTTGGTACCGATTCACGTCGGTACTACCTAGTTCTGATTCACTTAAAATGAAATGGTGCCAAATTTCGGTACCTGAGGTGGAGGCGGAGCGAGAGCGCATGACTCGCACCTCAGACTCAGCAACAATGGCAACAAAAACAATGTGCAGACAGAAGTTAACGTGCAGCACTGTTCCTAAATGTTCTCAATAAAATGTTGAAACTGAGAAGTTTAGACTATGGGCCCGAACGACGCATAGTGCGTCCAAATTCACACCCGTTCTTCTCTGTGGATTTTCTCCGTGACCGTGCGTCATAGCGAGAAGCCACGCATATCAGCGGAAACAGCAGAATTGTAGCTTTCCGACAAGAACAAGCACTTGTCGGTAATCCAATGTTTTCACAGCGAAAAATTACAATAAAATGATGTATAACAGAGCTTTCATACAGCTTTGCACACACATTACTCTTGGATGGATTACTCGTAAACGCAGGCTCGCACAGAAATGCCACGCATATCACATGAAAGCGCAGGACCACACACATCATTGTGCTGTCATCCCATCACGCTCTAAATACAGATCAATTGTCTACAAAATAAAAACTTGACGAATTTCTTTACAATCCATTATACAGATCTTGTTATCAGTCACTTCATATAGTGAGGAATATCGTATCTTACCACGTCTTAGGCTTGCGTGTGTTTCTCCCTGTCTATCCACATTTGTAGTCCAGCTTTCAAGATGCAAATATCTCCATATTGTCCAGTTGACACTCCATCAAACTTTGTATGACAAGACCAGCCACTTCACCTTTGCGCACCCAGACAACTGCAGCCTAATTATGCATGCTGACAGGGCCGTAGTCACCATATACATTGAGGGGGACACGTGCCCCCCCCCCAATGCCCAAAATGTCCCCCCAATATATAACTGAAACTGAAAAACAAATATTATCTTGGAGGACATCATTGCACTTGGTTGACTATTTTTCTATGATCTTAGATGTAAATATTGCATGTTTCTTTCAGATAAAACACATTTTTGACTTGTGAATGAGTCAATGGAATTTCTTGCAATAATGAAAAAATACTGGCAATCATGTCCGCCTGGCACAAACCACATGTTTTGGACAGCTGTGAAGTGACAGAATGTCCCAGCATCATGGTTCTTATATTGCCAGATTCCAGAGAGTCTCCCCTCTTCATATATGGCAGAATATGTCATCTTCCAACTTGCTATGGTGAGATACATGTAAAAATGTAAGAATTTAGTCACACAGATTTGTTTTTTTCATTGATATAAAAATTAATATAAAATACAGGCACATAGAAGGACATGAAATGATGGCAAATCTGGTTAGCTCACATTGTCCTGAAAAAAAACAAGATATAGCATGTGTATGTAGCCTTTATAATGACTGTGATATGAGCTTAAAAGTAAAGGCAGTAAAAATACCCCAAAAAGGCCTAGGGCCCATAGGGTTAAAAAGTACTGAAATAAGGTACCGTTTGGTACCGGTACTGAATTCCAGATACCGGTACCAGTACCGTATCGGTTCAATTATGAACGGTACCCAACCCTACCATCTACAGAGATCACCATGTTGCACCACCATGTTTCTACACTAGCCCAGAACAGACAAACCAAACACTGGCTCTAGATAGGGACATTCATATTTTCACATTGGCATCCGTAGTTAGAAGCTCATCTGTGATGACAAGAGTAGCAAAAACACAGATTTGTAAAGTGAAACTGTTTTATTCAGTTTTTTTAGCAGTTTAAATCATCAAGTCCATTTGTTTTGGTGAAAAGGAGACTCCCGCCATTAATTCGGCTCCTAGTGAAAACCTCCCGAATAACGAACCTTAATTCTAACCAGGAGAAGTTTCGGCTGGATGCAGTCTGCAATCCTCACCACTAGATGCCATTAAATCCCCCTAAATCTTACAAACTGCACCTTTAATGCACTCACAGGTGCAGCTCTGAAAACTACTACAAAAGCTGATAATGCCATTATACATGTGTAAGTGTTGTAACACTGGTTATCGCTGTGTGTTTGTTTCAGAGTGCTCCCTCCCTGACACACTCAACTCTTGGTTCTTGGTAGCGCAGCTGCACGTGTGGTGAGTTTTACACACAAACACACATACACATATATAGTATAGCTGTTTGTCCTCCCTGCTGTCCCTTTCCTGCTCCCATCTGTCTTATTTCTTAACACAAGTCTTCATTCTCTCTCACTGTTTGTTTCCTCCTCTTATTTCATTGTCAGGATGTGTTTGGTGCGGATGCGTCAGGAGGGCAGAGAAGGAAAGTACATGTGCCGTTACATTGTCCACTCCATGTGGGAGGATGTCGAGCAGAGGAGCAAAATCATGGGGGTACGTTCTGCGTGTGTGTGTGTGTGTGTGTGTGTGTGTGTGTGTGTGTGTGTGTGTGTGTGTGTAGCATCTTACACAACTTCATGGTAATCATCTGTACATTCAGCAGGATTAAACCCACAAGATCATATAACAGCATTTCCTTCATAAACACATATTGTACATGCATCACATTACACCACACGTACGGCCTGATGCACAGCATGCCATAACACACAGGGTTAGTGTTTCCTAAACATAGAAGCCTCCACCTGATGCCTGTGTACCAGTAATGTCATGTGACAGTAATATGCACTATATGCAGCCTCATAGAAACACAGTCAATAACTGCTGGTGGAAAATTTCACCCACAGTGTCTAAAGATACGACATGATGACAAAAGTTGTTTTGCTTAGCCCATTTTTAAGTCTGGAACAAAACACTGTGTTCAAGTATTTGTTGACCTACTATAGTTCCCTTCAAACTTTCAACGTAAATGAACTGATGACACAACAGACTTTTCATTTTCATTGTCGATTGATTTGATGATATTTCTCTCAATTAATAAGTCGATCGGTTTGTCTGTAAAACATCAGAGAACAGTGAGAAATGATCCGTTAGATTTCAGATGTTTTGTTTTAACCAACAGGTCAAAGATAGATATTCAGTGTACAAAGATACAAAACAGAAAGGCAGAAAATCCAGCAAAGACTTTTTTTTTTAGTATTTTTGTTTGTTAAATAATAAATTAATAAATACATTTTTGAACTAGAGTTGGGTCAAATTATGGTTTTGCCAGTGCTGTGTACGATGGAAAACTGGTTTGATTCTATGCAAACCGGCTGAACTGGCATTTGTCATCATGATGTCTGGGCAAATTAGTAATAAGCAATTTGAAAACCTGATTGACACAGTATCATATTTATTTATAAATGGACCAACGGAGTCACCAGTTTCTGACGATTTACTGCTTAGCTGAGGTCGGCCACAAAAAGGAGATCAAATGTCAGTAGATGTTGGGACAGAAGGACCTGTGCATAGTGCATGTTGTGTTTGTTTACTAGAAAAACCTACACCAAGTCTGTTTTTTTGGTGACGAGAGGAGACACATCGTAGTTTTTCTCTCAAGAAAACTACAACTGCGCCAGTATGACTATATTTTGGATTTAAGGCACCACTGAACAATAACACAAACCATCAGGAAACATTAGTGACCAAAGAAAATTAATCTGACCTTATGGAACAAGTTTGTTTTGGTCTCACTCCCTCTGGGCTTCAGCTCTTTGTTTACTTTCCTCACTTCTGTTTCTCTCCTTGTGTGCTGAGCTGACCTGACAGTCAGAGTGATTTCATTCTCCAATGGGCTCCACCATCACCTGCACCCATTTTATGTGCTGAATCGGCCAAAAGGAAGCCGATGAGGGCCGATAAGGAATAACGGTGCGGCACACACTGCACTGTCTAGGGCGACAGATGCTCAGAGAAGGCCCAACGCTGACGGACAGCCGACCGTTGGCTTAGTGTGTCAGGGCCTGTAGGGATTCAATGTGGTCAGAGTGCTTTGATGTTACACCACGTGATGAGATAGTACCATTAGAACTGGTATATGACCTGTACAGACATGTACCTAAACCCTAGATCAGTTTAGCGTCTCCACTGCAGACAGTACTTTTAAATGTAGGCGGAATGTTACCAGTTGGTAACAGCTGCGTCACTGTTCCATCCAGCTCTCACTCTATTCCCTATTCACCAGTGATGAAGAGGAATGTCCGCACTTCCCTGATCGTCTATGGAACAGGGTCGCACGCCGACAATTTCAGAGCAAAAAAGAGCAGGCTGGAGTGTTTAGCCCACGGTCTCTGTGGTGATCAATGGTATATGAAAATATAATGAGTTTGTGCATTGAGTCGAGCAAGAGTGGCGATTCTCTCGACCAATCAGAGGACTGCAGTGTTTCTACCTCCACTTTAAGTATCATATTAGTGTGTTAGGTACCTGAACAGAGGGGTGATGAAAAAACAGGACAGAATGGAGCAGCTCTGTCAATACCATCCTCAACTTGTGACAATGACAATACAAAAATCACCCAACCGAACTGGACTGAACTGCTTGGTGGAAATGGCACTACAATATTTCACTCAGGAGCAGCTGCTGAGTCAAGTGGGAGACCTAGGGGTCTAATTTGGCTGAATATCAAACCAGTTTGAACATTTTTACACCGGCCCGATGAACCATGAAAACTAACATGGATAAGATCACAAAGATGGACAACTGTTCTGCTGCAGTCTCACACTTAGTTAAGACATATCTGTAATCTGATTCTGACAAAGACGTCTGTATTAGTATGAATAAATCACACAAAAACATGTGTTTAACATGAGTGATTGACTTATTATTTTCAGCATTGCAGTTCCAAATGCCTGACCGGTTGTCGAGCAGCGTTTTCTGTTAAGTAGTGCTGTGCCCCTAAAAAAACCACAAATATAAAACAAATGGCGTCCAAACTGGTGCTCTGCCTGACAACAACTGAATGTCATTCTGTTAAATAAATATTCATTATGTTCGAAACATTTCCGCTTTGGGCTGATGCAACAGTGCATTAAGTTTTATTCGTGCCATTGCATGCTACATAGGATGCTGGTTTTGTTTATTTAAAGTTTTACATCAGCATAATTGTGCCAACAGTTCTCAGGCAGAAAGTGAAGTCAAATCCCCGGAGAGCGAGCCTGGCTGCAGTCACCGTGTCCACAGAGTTGTGCCTCTATTCTTTCTCAGTGGAGCAGCTCCAGGAAGTGTCGCTCATTGACATCACAGACTTAAATCTTGGCTTTGCTTGCATGTTGCTTTCAGAAAGACTTTCTCATGCTCAAATTATACAGGAATGAACTCCCAAAGTTCATGGGGGGAAAACATACTACAGTTAGTTGTGCATTTGTGATTGATTTTTAAAAATTATTTAAGAGTTGCAACAAAGATAAATGTACCAAGGCCAAACACTTTATTGTCACTAAACAGTGCGCTTTACTATCAGAGATGATGGTAACTGTAAACTAACGTTAAGAACAGGAAGGGTCAAAATACATAAAAGTGCACTTTGAAAAAAATAATTTGTGCTTGAAGTTCTATATGAACCATACAGTAGATGCTGTCACTGACACATCTGTGCTCATTTTTATTCACCTTGATGCTTAAAGGAAATGATCACTTTATACAGACAAGAAGTCCGGTGTAGTTTTTTAATCCACAAAATTCGTTCGGGGTATCGGAGGATAACGGCTCACCGGATTTTTTCATACACTTGAAGTGCATGGAACGCACATTTTGAAAATGTAATAAAACTCTTCTAATGCATTTCACAAATGTCAGAACGGCTCGTCTGTCGTAATCCAAGTGCCCTGACGCCGCGGCATGCAAAACTGACTTGAAAAGACATAATTTATTCAGATTCAGATTCAGATTCAGAATACTTTATTAATCCCCGGCGGGAAATTGTTTTTGTTCCAATGCTCCGTGCAAAGTAGAAATAGAAATACAGCATGAATGGAAACGAGATAAAAATGAAGATATAAATAAAATACTAAAATAGACAATGAAATAAATAAAATAAAATATTAAAGTAGACATTAAAATAAAATAAAATAAAATATTAAAGTAGACAATAAAATAAAACAAAAAATAAAATAGTAAAGTAGACAATCTGAAATATATACATATATACATAATTTACTCCACTTTAATAGCATAATTTCTCACCGTGGTCAGTTAGCCTGCAACTTGCGAGACTCAAGAACAAGAACGTCTCCGAATGTTCTCAAGTCTTGCGCGAGTTGCCATGTAAACACAGCACGCCTGCACGTAGTCAGAGCTCCAGCAGGAAGCAAAGAGCTCCACGCCCGACAACAGGTTCCTCTTCCAGCTAGGAGCAGAGCTTTGCCTCTCTGCTCCACTCATCCCCACTGACGACAGTGTCATCAGAGTCCAAGTCATCTGACGAGGGATGGTTATCTTTAAGATTTTAACAATACTACTACTCTTGGCGATACTGATTATTGATCCAGCACTTGAATGGTAGAAACCACATTAACCTTAATAAATTACCGTTATAGACTTTAACATATTCGAGGTGGTTGGCGTAACGGGAGATGAAGTACAAGCTAGGCGGTAGAAAAAAGTTGTATTTCCCCGCCTGTATGTGATGCACTTTCGCTAGATGTTTCCAAAGGTAACTTGTGCTTCTGCCCTCACATGCTCAGGAGTTGTTGAACTCATGGTAATGAGCAGTGTTGCCATCAACTCTTGTGAAATATAACCAAACTTCAAAGCGTTTGCTCTCTCCACCAGTTTCAGAGAGAGGCTGTGAGGCTCGGACACAGAGACCTCTCCTCTGGAGAGTTTATGTCACCTGAATTTCTCTAATACCAATAGCAGAACCGTTAACGTCGGAGCCTATCAACACTACTGTCTTTGATAATTCGGCCCCGAGGCCCGTTTAATACCAGATGATAGTACTCATCTCTACATGTCACTCCAGTCCAGTGGCGATTATCGATCACAGTTGTCTGTTGATGAAACTGTGGCTGTAGTTTGAGGTCAATCAGTTACTTAGGTTGTGAGGTCAGAGGTCAGGAGTTCTCTCTGCCTGCACACAAAAACATGTTTTTCGAGTCACTTAGATTTACTCTTCAAATAATCCTGGTGGCAGCTATAACCTAGAAACATCAAGTCTACATTATCCATGATGTTAACCAAGCAGGATGGTTGAACCGGAGCCAAAGTTCAGCGGGCTTTTTATACATAAGAGCTCTTTAGTTTAGCTCATTTTGCTTTGTGTGACAGAAAGAGGTCAGAAATGAGAAATTACAGTGTGGTTTGTGAGGTCACTCTTGGTGTGTGCGCATGCATGCATTGGGCGGAGCACGGGGAGGGGATGTTTGTGTGTGTGTGCGTGTGTATGTGTGTGTGTGTGTGTTTTCACAGCTGCGCATGTGAACTTTTGTCAGCATGTGTATGTACACTTGCGTATATCCCTATGTGCTGGCACAAGCCTGCACACATGACTGAGAACTTAAAAATCTTCATCAATTAGAGCCCAACACAAACCTTAACTCAAACTCTAATTTCTATCCGATTTATTCTGATTTAATCTAAACACCTGGCTGCAGCTACAGATAGAAGACAGAACAGAAATAGACGACTGCCTTTATTGTGATTGTACAGTATAAAACAAAACTAGGAACACGACTTTGATCAGTGCAAGACAAAGACACAGGAGACAATGCAGAAGAACTTAAGCCAACAAACATCCACAGCTGACAACACAAGTTCTAAAATTATATGTAAAATAAATTAATAAATACTCTTGACTCAGTGTATGTATTGCACATGATCCAGTAGGTTTGCCCTCTAGAGACAGCCATCATATTGCATGTGAGAGTTATTCAGTGCTTGTTGAAGTGTTCTTATGGTCCAGGTAGGGCTGGGCCATCTGGCAAAAATGTAACCAAAATAAAAATGTTCATGTAACTCTATCAATAATTATCACAATAAATGTCAAATTATCATTTCTTTCAAATTAGATTTTTGCTCCTTGAGTGAAAGTTGAAGAAACCAGATGGTTAATTGTGGTTTAAACTATTCTTCACTGTCAGCAGAACAGCAGGGCCCAGCTGTGCAGATGTAATCTGATCGGATTACGGCTGTGGGACAGGATCAAATCTTGAAAATAGGTTGTTAAAAAGTCTTGGTTTTAATCTGCATCAAACCCTCAGTATGTGTTGTTCACAACTTGTCAGTAGGATCAGGATACCTTCGATGCAAGAACTCAGGATTATTCTGATTCCAGCAGGAGGCTGGATTCAAGGTACATTTCAGGAATAAAGTGTAATGAAACTTTTAAATTGGTCCAGTACATCTACATTTATTTATATTGTGCACCTGATTTGTTTAACAGTTACTGTGATTAAGTAGATAAAGAAGACATGAGGCTGCCTGTGAAGCATTTCATACAGTAAAGTAAAAACAAAAGGATGTTGTCCTCTTAAAATAATCCCCGAATTGTCAAAATCAATTACGGAGATGAGAGGTAATCGCGTTGAGATATGTAGTCCATTGGTTATTTGGATTTGGTAATCTTGGAAGAGTGTGTGTGATCAGGGCGATCTGATCCAATGGTGCTTTGAAAGACCAGCACAGAAATAAAATGGATTACCTGATCCCGGACAGAAAAACACAGGATTTAAATCTGGATCAGATTGATCCAGATACATTTTTTGAACAGCTGGGCCCAGTTGCACAGAAATAATCTGATGGGATTTTGATTGTCAGAGAGGATCATATTTCTGTCAAATCTTCTCTCTATCTTCAAATCTGCTAACAGCTACTTTTTAAATCTCCCGCTGTTGGTCACACATGTAACACGTCTTCAAAACGTCACAGCTGTGTTGCCCATGATCTCGTCCTGCTGGCTGTCCCGTTTATACAGACTTGTTTCGGTGCTGTTTCTACTTCAGATAGCACCTTAAAGGCGAGACATTTCTGTCCCGCCATTGCAAGATTGTACCTTTTATTAAGAGCAGCAATGCGGAATAACAGCGTGAAATTTCCGCTTTGACTAGGCAGTGTAAAAGGGGCTTGTGTGTGTGTGTGTGTCACACTGGAGTACCAAGCACAGCCTACACACACTGTTCCTAGTCCAGCTCTGCATCAGCAGCAGCACATGTATTTTTACAACACACACGTCCAGCAGCAGTGATTGGAGTTGCTCTTAGGTTTCATGTTAATTGTGGTAAAGAGCAAGAAAAACACTGGTCATTTTCTCTGTGTTCATAATTACTGCTGCATCCAGATGAAACCAGCCGAACTCTACGACGACTTCGCCATCCTGCTGTACACCGTGTGATGTTTAACTGCTGCTGCATCTCAGCTCCACCCTCAGGGGATTCAGTTTGATGACATTTCATTGCTCCAGTCAGAACGTGAATGTGGCTCAGATAAAGAGAAAAAGTAAAAGATGATGGTGTTTGTCGATCCAGCACTGTAGTGAATGAGATGAATGTCCTGTCACAACTCTTTAATGTGTTTCTGCCGTGCTTCACTTTGATTTCTCTGTCTCTTTATCACTTACAGATCGATGCCATCCATAGAAAGGAAGGAATGAAGGTGATGACGGAGACGTTTTACGCTGCAATATTTGGATATGATGAGGTAAGAAATATTTTGTTTTACACACTCATACAGAGGCATCAAAGAGCTGATTTTTGATTTTGAGCCTATTGTGCTCACTGATAGTAAACATATCACTCATAATGCGGGATTAATGATGTAATGAACGTGTGTGTGTGTGTCTGCAGGGAATCCTGTCTGATGACTCTGTGCTGGCAGCAGCTCTGTGGAGAAACATTTTTAACTGTGAGTGTGAAGACCCCAAACAGCTCGAGCTCATGGTGGAATACGTACGCAAGCAGGTGTGTTCAGCTTCTACTTACTTATTACTGTATTTGTGTTTAAAAAAAAAAATCACATTGCTTTTATTACATCACATCCCTCCTCTGCATCTCTGGCAGATGAGCAGATGAGGTTTGGCTGTGCTGTATTTGCACCTTTAAGTGCAAAATCTGTACAAGAGGAGAAGAAAATAGGATATGTCAAGTCTGTGTTTTCCACACAATGAGAGTGTGTGACCCCTCTCTAAATTTGGAGGGTTTTGCGGGTCAATGAACGCAGTGCAGACGAAGCTCACGTGACTTCTTTTGTCCTGAGCAGTTTGTGACTTGCTGGGTTGATAATTGATCTATTGAGCCGCTCAGAGCTGATCAGATCAGAGAGGAGCAGCTGCTGCAAGTGAATGCAAACTTTCAGACCCAGCACAATGAGTGGTTGTTTGACTTTCAATATGCCTGTCGTTCTGCTGCTGCGTGTCTGCCCTGAGTGCGTTCTGGGCTTATACAGCGTGGTGCTATAAAAGCTCCTAATGAACGCTCCAGCTCCTCTCCGTCAACTTTTTGTTTTTGTTTTTTTTATTTCCATTTTCCACTATTACTAATCATCTGACAACCCCTCAGATTTATCTTGTGACCCTTTGGAGGGGCCTGACCCCTAGGTTGGGAAACACTGGACTGAACTAGCTAAATACATATAAAGAAGTTGAAACTAGCTAACACTCAGAACGTTTACACACACAGTGAAGAGGAGCTGCAGCCACAGCTGGACGAGGACATTTAACTGGCCTACTGTCCTTGTCCCAGTATACAAGCACGGGAGGGGAATCCATTTATTGATCCAAGTATGTGCGACTCCTCTACGATAGGTGGAGATATGCCCCCTTTCAGCTTGTTAGTATTGGACCTTTTTCCTGTTGACCTATTACGTCACAGACCAAACAATGGACAAACAAGTTAGCTACGGTTAGCTAGCAGCTAACTGCTAACTGCTAACTGCCACCAACTTTACAGCTCTGTACATTTGGTCCGTCCAAAAAGTTACAGCTCTGGATGTAGATTTCTCCATGTTGTTACCGGCTTCTCCTTCTCTTACACATTTAACGCTGTTTGACTTTCGAGTCAAAGCCCGTGGCGGAAACTGTGGAGCATGCTCAGAGCGCCTCGGCCAGTTTGGGTCTGACTGTATACATGCAGGAGTTAAGAACTTTGCACACTAGGTTTGTTTTTTTTCAGATGCGTATTTTTAATCTCTCATCCAAAAAACAGTTATTACACACAGAAACCTCGCACACTGAATCTGATGTGTTTGATTGTTTTCTTCGTTATGAAAATTCCCAATACGAGACAAAATTAAAAGACACATTTCCTCCTCTGCCTCTCTCCACTGGAGTTACCTACCTGACTGACATCACTTCCTCCCTGTCTTTCATTTGGCCCCGCAGCTGCATGAAGGGGTGGAGCTGTCCTCCACATCCTCCTCTTCATCATCATCATCCACCTGAATATTACTATCTGCTGCTGTGTCCCGCCGCCACATTATCTTCACTGATTCTTGGTCAAACGTCTCTACGTCAAACGGTCTAACGGACGTCTCTGACAGCTGTGAAAAACACAGGAAATCGATCCTGTTCTGAAAATATTTATGACGGGTGAAAATCAGACAAACGTGATTGACACAACGTGAGGTCGTATTTAGTTTTAGATGTGCAACAATTTCGGATGAAAAAAAATGGACTTAGTTTAATTCATTGGGTGTGTGAGTCCGACTTTGAGAAATCTGATTTAGTACAATTTCAGTTGGACTAACATGTTTACTTAAAAGTCTGGTTTTAGTCAGACAAAAGCAATAAATCAATTTCTCTGATGTCGTGAACATACTGACTGATGCATAAGTATTAATATTCTCATAATGTCATAAACATACTCAGAAAGAGAAGTTTTACTTCTGATACTTGAAGCCCATCTAACTGAGAGTGCCTGTGTGCTTTTAATAGGATTTTGAATGCAGAACTTTAACTTGTAGAGGCGTGTTTTTATACTTTTGTACTGGTGATTTTACTGAAGGAAAGGATCGTTCTTCCTCCTCCGCTCCTCTTGGGTTGATGAAATAAATCTAATGCTGGTTAATATCAGCCCAAATGTCAGCTGTCTGTATCTGGAGAATTCGCTACAACCTGACACTCTGCGTTCTGCCCATTTCCGCCTCACCCACCCCCTCTGAGCACTTTTCTTCCTCCTCCTCCTCTCTGTATATTTTCTTTCCCTCCATGAGATTGAAAACACTCTCCTGCTTTCAGAAACACCTGCAGGCCTCCATCTGCTGCTGGGGCCATGTGGTCCACGACCTCCTCTCTCCTTTTAACTTCGGCGTCCTTTCATCTCCTCTCTACAGATTTCTGTTGCTCTGTTTACATCAGTCCCTCGCCGCTCCGCTTACTTTTAATATTTATGATGCTCGTCCAACCTACAGCTTCTCTGACTCTCATGAGCTCAGAAGCAGCGTGTGGAGAGAACAAGCCCCCGCTGTATCAGACCAACAAGCAGTGACACACACACACACACACACACACATATGCAGGTGTGTCAAAGGTCATGGAAGCAGTGTCCAACTCAATCAGCCAGCAAAGTGTCCCCCTCTGTGTGTGTGTGTGTGTGCGTGTGTGTAGTCTTACGTCAGAAAACAAACAAATGACACACTCTACTGTGTGTATATGCCTGTTGGTTATAAAGCCTCTCTGGGCTCCCTCCATGTAACACACACACACACACAGACAAACACACCTCCAGGGAACGAAAACAGGTTCGTCAGGTTAATTGTCACAATAAACCTGCTGACAACATTAAACATGCCAAACAGACACACCGTGTTGTTCCAAACGCACGCGTCACAGTTTTTCACTGAGTAGAAAAAAACTCCTCATATTATCCCAATAAAACATTTTAACACACAGTTTTTCAAACTATTACCGTCACATTTTTCAGCTGTGGCCGCAGAAATACATTTGTGTTTTAACTTCACCTTCCAGTATTTAATTTATTCACTTTGATTTATTTTAACCGGCCCCTCGTTTATTTGTCCCACTGCTTTGTTTCTGTATTTCTCATCAGATGCTGTATGTCAGCTCAGTGGAGGAGGATTATAGATTATTATATTAATATTTTTTAAAACCTGTACCAACCCGGCCTGTTGCTGGATCAACTCTGCCCCACCACCGGTGAACATACCCATTAATCAGTGACTTGAACCCAAAGTCCCCTGTTGTTTTTGCTGTATGTGTTCCATCACACAGCAGGGCAGGTAAAAGAAGTTCACCTGTTGGAGGTGAGCTGTTTGCAGCCTGTTGTCTGAGGCTCTTCATCAACATCTCACTGTGGCTGTTTCTACTTTTACTCTTCCTCCCTGCAGTGCTGATAGACTTGTCTTAATTGAAGAAAAGCTGCTTATAACGTTCTGCTAATTCTGTAATAAACATATTTTAATTCCTATAAGGTCTTAAAAATAAAAGTCCCCGCCACTTTGTTACGTGACACTTTTATTGTGAAGCATCAAAATGAGGAAAGTTTTCGAGCAGCAACTTTTCACATCTTCTTGCACGGCTGATAGTGAACATGAAACAGAAAAATGAAGCAGATATCTAAAGTAAAAACAGGACGCAGGAGAGAAACTAAACTCCAAACCACAGAGATAAAATTAGAAGCTACAGGCGTACTGAGAGCTGAACACAAACATTTTTCTCTCTGGCCTCCTGCAGACAGAGGTGAGGAGAGTCTCACAACACATGTTGAGGGGAGAACAGGGGCTCGCTGTGGTCGGCGAGACACCACCACTGCCCGCTTGAGCGTGGGCCGCCCAGCGTAGGTGTGCAGCTTGGCGTGGCACCACGTGTCTAAGCTGATAACAGAAATGCAAATCAGCCCACAGTATTGTACGTGTGCTACTGCGGTAACTTAATTCATCTCATAAGTTGTTGGTAAGTTACTCAGAAGGCTGCTTTGTCACTGAATGACACCAGTGCAGTCAAGAGGAAACAGGTATTTGTAGTCATTGTAAAATTGATCTTAAATCTCATTCCATGTGGCATTAGAAATCTGAAATCTGACTTTCCTTGAGCTGTAGGAGCCTTGTATGTGTATCTTCTGTGCTGTCAGGCTGAAGATGTGTCTTAAGCATACACGTCTTAGAATTTGTAGCTTCTTTGCAGCAGCATCCATGTTTGAAGCAGTGTCATCTGTCATGGCAACATATGAGTCTGGACAGACATGGATATCAACTGTAACTTGACTGGTTAGAGGAGGCAAACAGCTGCCAGGCACGAACACAAGATCGCCAGAAGTAAAAAGCTAACATTAGGCCATAAACAAACTTCACCGCAGTTGCAAGATTTAACACCCCCACAACAACGAGGCTGTAAAGCCGTGTTCTGCGCAATGACGTTCCAAGTTCTGTTTGTTTGTTTGTTTAACAGAAACAGTTGGAAAACAACAAAATAATGATTTGAATCAGAAGCTTTGTGATCGTTGAGTATAGGGTGTGTCATATCATCTTGTTCACGATAATACCAGTATATTTTTTAATATGATGTGACACTCGTGATATTTCAACATGTTGACATATTGACGTCTCACTGTTACCCACGGTAACAACAAGCATGGCTGAAAGTGAAATGATTCCCGACTCCTTGGTGGCTCCAAAAAGAGGAGCAGCTTGAGTAGTTTGGAATAAAGTGTGGCGTCCTGAATGTTTTACTTCTCTCTTTACTTCTTCAAAAATACTCTGAAACATCTTGATATTGTTTTAGAGCCTTATTGCCCACTCCGACTGTTAATACCTTTCACTTGATGTTTACAACACCTGTCAGTCCGTCAGTAGCATTTAGGGTTTGAGGTTCAATGCAATAAATATCAGTTGATTACTGTGACCTTTGACCTGCTCTGTGTGAGATGAACCAAAGTCAGGAGGTAATTTTGGATGTCTTGTTGTGTGCAGATGCAGTACATTGATGCTCTGGACGGGGAGGACCTGCTGCTGACAGGAGAGGTGAAGTGGCGCCCTCTGGTGGAGGAGAACGCACAGAGCATCCTGAAGGTGGCCACGCCCACGTACAACGACACAGGACTGTGAGACCAAGAGACAGACTCCTGTTTCCTCTGATCCAAAGTCCTCTTCCTCTGACCTCTTCTCCTACTTCCTGTCACTTATCTTTTCCCACCTGTGTGTCTTCCTCCCTCCCTCCCACCTGTAATCATGTAACACCTCCCCTCCTGTCTCTCTCTTCTTCTTCTTCTGTCATATAAGGAGGGATTTTAAACCTGACATGAGGTCTGTTGCTGTAGTTTTCTCCTCTTTTTCGTTTGTCTCCTCTTGTATACCCAAAACACAACTTCTCGTCCTCCTCCTCGTCCTCTGTCTCTGGAGGTAGAGTATAGGCAGGATAGACAGTCAGGGATTATTATCACACCATCTCAGTCACCCACCAATCAGCGAATCAGCCAGTCCAAAAACAGGAATTGCCATGCACCATCATTATCATCATCATCCTCAGCTTCCATCGCTGTCCTGTCGGTTTTGAGAGCCTCTCCCACTTTCTCTTTGCAAACTCTTGGACTGTTGAGGAAAAAAACCCAAGAAGAGAACAAGACACTGTATTTATATTTTTCACGTTTGTTTTCTTTCCATGAATGCCACGCTGTATTTATAAAGTATTTTGTATACTTCCATGTTTACACTCTTCCCCTGCAGAGGTGTTAGCTCAGACTGCTGACACTGCTCCTTCACTGTGCGTTCAATAAAGTCTCACTCTGATCAGACATGAAAGTCACGGTTCCAGGAAACAGACGCCAGATTTCATCGGGCTAACGGCCCTTTTTCTCTCTGTGTCAGAGGTCTGTAGTTAAACTCCTCTGCTCCTGAACATCAACAGTCTGTATGTTCCTCTGCTTGTCTCGCTCTCTCGCCATGATGCTCTCACACCAGAACAGGAAGCTGAGCTCTCAAAGACTTAAACGTCATCACTGTATTAAAAACAATGAGATTCGTTTTGTTTTTAAAAAGTGGAAATAATAAAATGTTATCTGGATGTATAAAGCCACTGAGCCTTGTGTCATTGTTTGACTGTTGGTGACCAAAATGGCAAAAAGCTTCTTTGCTTCAGAGCTCGTTAGCTTAGCCTGAAGTTGTGCACGATAGCTGGAATATTAAGTTTATACTTTAAATACAAAAAGGTACACGTTTTTATTTCAACTACAATATTCTGTTTGTTTTAAATCAAGAGTGAGGACGTAGGGTTGACTGAAGCGAACACAGCACTGCCACGAGTTGCGAGTTAATTCACCTGCTGATAATCTAATGTAATTTAAACGGCTATCATCACAGTCATGGCTCATTACGGAGCCTCGGGATCACAGCAACAGTTTAGAAGATACCTCGAAGACTCAGGCACTTTATAAAGAGACGTACAAACCTGACAATGCACTGCACTCCATAATGGTCCAGAGCCAGCAGACACTGAGGCTCTTCACATAGAGCTGGCCGATGGAGACCAGAAATGCAACCTGCTCATGGAGGAGAAACAGGCTGATGCAGTACGAACCATGACCTGAGGAGGGCGTAGCCGAGTAGAAAGGAGGGTTTTGTCACTGCTGTCAGGGGCTTAAAAAAAAAAGCTTTTTTGGAACAATATGTAAATGTTTATTCGATATTCAGTGAACACAAAATCAATGTTATTTTTTGTACATATAAGAAGCAACTTTTGCTTTGTTCCTGTTTCCAACCAAAGGATTCAGCTGACACACGCAGCCTCTCATCTGAAATAAATACAGTAAAAACAAAAACAAACAAAAAAGAGGACAAAGTTAATTTCCAACTACCTGCAGAGAATACAGCCAACATCAGGAGAAACAAATTAAAATGTTATAGATGGGTCAGGTCCGGGCATTTTTAGGCAATTCTGAGCAACAAGCAGAAGAACTGGAAGACATTTAGCAACACAATCTGCCTTTTGCATCAGCTGAGGCTTGAACTCACAACCTCTGAGACTAAGAATCAATTTCTATCTCACTGAGCTAATTAGTCAGTGACAATTCATGTGTAGCTTCACAAATTGACTAAGCCAGACGTGCAGGTTTAGCAGCCGTCCGTGCATGGAAAAGCAGATTTCAAACCACTGTAAAAAATTCAGTTATCGAAACAAAAATCTGAAAATACACATGTTGCATCTAGACAGCATGGAGATGTTGGTAATTTGTTTGTAACAATGATTGATTTGCTCCATAAGTGAAAAACTGATGTTTAA